AGACCGGTAGTACCATGGAAAAACACTGAAATGTACAATACAATGGGCAAGTCCAGGAGGGGAAAAAAGAGACCTCTACTCATGCTGGGCTCCTATGGGGGGACAGCATGAGAACAGAAAACAAAAAAAACCCTCCTCTGCGCAAAGGGCACATAAATGTCCACATCACAACATCATGAAGCACGTGACAAGCAACAGGGGTGGGTAAGGGGTGAGAAGTAAGCCGATCCAGACACAGCCATCCTGCCCTGCAACTATTCATCCAGCGCTGGGCCAGACCCGCCGTCCGACTCGGCCTTGGAGATAAGCATACAAGGGCGTTTGGAACGAAGAGTCCAAACACAGTTTGTCATCAGGGGAGAAGTTGTTTGTTATGCTCAGCTCCAGCCTCGAGACCGCAGCTGGTGCCGATATGGTAGCCGCATATGCGAAAAACTGCATGTCAATTTTACAGTCGATCTAACGTCCATCACTGGTTCCTCACCATTCCCGTTGGAGAGCCGTGAGCCTCTCCACGATGTTATCCAGCTACACCAAGATGTTATCCAGTTTGCTCATAGAACACGAGTGTTCACGACAGCCGTGAGCCTCTCCAAGACGTTGTCAGAGTCTAAGCACTCAACGCAGCTGCAAGCTTCTCCAAGATGTCATCCGTGCTGCGTCTAATGCGCCCATTCTGAGAAGCCACGGCTCGCTCCATCGTTCCAATCAACATAGTGGGCAGCCTTGTGGGGATTTGAACAGCCGTTTCCGCTTTCTTTATTCTTCGATAAGCCAGGGACAAGCCAGCACCGACCAGCAAGAACCCTGTTATCATGGTTCCAAAAAGGTGGATGTCTTCAGTGGGCTCTCCCGAACCCAGGCTTCTCGTCGAGACGAGGGTGTCAGTTGCACTCAGAAAACCAAGGGCGCTGGGTCAAAGTGACCCAGGACCATGACTTTACTGTGCAAGGCATAACTTTTCATTACTTTACAGTCTCCAACTTTACACAAATTCATTATTAGATTAAAGTGATACATTGTAAAGTACAGTAACCATCGGGTGTGCTGGTTTTGGTGTTTTGTGTTCCCGCCTTCTGGCTTTCCCTGCACCTGTGGGTTATCATGCACCTGAGGCTGTTGACTTCCTCTTCTTAAGGAAGCGATTGGAATTGTTGTAATCACCGCACTTAGTGAAGCCTGGCTCATATACCTTAACTTACCTGCTTCTCTTTGTGCTCAGATTGTCTGGGAAACTGCTTGAAGAGGAAAAGTTTGGAGATTGTTTTTGAGCCGTGTATTGTTCAACCCATCTTAAGTACTTGATAAACATCAGCAGATCTGGACACACTCCATTTGTAACTTAATGGCACACTGGACACAGGAGTACTAAACTAGCATGTTTCCACTCCTGTATGTCATTCAGGTACATGGATGATGCATATCAGTAGTTTAGTGTTGCATGGTGGGTTTTAAAAAATCCTTTTTAAGTGAATTAGCTTAAAAATATCAAAGTGACAAAAAGCAAAGCTCACCTCTGAGTGAAAGGGAAATAAATCTTCAGGTCTATCAGATCCAAATAAGGAGAAGCAGCACATCTTCAGATTTCACAGGCTGTAGCCAAATTATCTTCGGTGCTTTCCCTTAACCGACTTTTTAAGACTGTCACTGATTAATAAGCTCTCACCTTAATGTTTCATCCCACACACTGGACACTGTCTTCTTTTCCTCTTAGCATGCCCCTCATTTGCCTTTTACTAACACAGCTGCACTCAAATCTGAACAAATTTAGTAACTGATTTACGCTGCTAGTTATGCAAATTATAAAAGAAGACCTTGTCGCTGATAGGAAATCAACATTAGTGGACAAGGTGCTTTCCCGTGAGAAATAAATTGTATTCTTTGACTGCCACAAATGAGGAAGACCAAAGCAAAGACCACTTTCGAAGCAGTGTTTTTGGAACCCCCGCATTTCTGGAGGTGGTTTGTGTTCTTTTGTCTGTAGAAACTAACTTTGGATGAGAACCAGATGACAAGTTCAAACTCAAGGACTACAAACTCTGGGAGAGAGTCCAGAAGCTATCAGTCTCCAGAATTGTGAAACAAAGCATACTATGGGAATGACTGATCAGTCCCCCCATCGCTTTTTGTTGAGGTAGGGAAGAAATAAGCCATGTGTGTGAGATCAGAAATGCATGGATGAATGGAATAAACTCTGAACTACCGCTTGCACTAACAAGCTCTTCTTTCAGCTGACATCCGGAGCTGGCTCTGTGCAGCCAACAAACGCCACTAGATGGAGCATGTATGCTTTCCAAGAAAAGAGCAATCCACTGCTCACTAAAGGCTTGGGTTCATGCACATCTCAGGAGAAGTTAAACAAATGTTCAAGTATTTGGTGTACTGTATTTTTATTACACAGAAAAAGCAGTTTTAGTCACAATATTTTGAATGGAGCAAATCTACTGAAATACAATTGTGCTATACTTATACTCTAGCTCATGCAATTAATAGAAGAAAATCATTTTTATTTTACTTTATTTCACTTTTTATTTGTACTCAATAATAATTTATCACAAACGAACAGATTTTTACACTGTAGCTATGACGTCTTTTAAAATGTTTTATTGTTACTTTCAGCTCCAGAGAAAATCCAGCACTCCCTGTTTTGAAAGTTGAGTGAATGAATAAACTCCCTTTGCTGCCAACATGAAACATGACTGTAATGCAGTGTGTTTGCTAACCTGCTAATATGCATTTCATGCCTGAGAAGACCCAGAACAATGAGTAATGAACTGGACTGTTGGTTCAGAAAACCCTGGAGTGCAATCTATCCCAAAATATGTGCAAACACTTTGAGATGATAAAACTGCAGCTATGTTCTCACGTTGCCTTATCACATGTACATCATGTTCAGCAGGGGGCTACAGCACATGCCAGTGGCGTACATTCAAAAGCTCCATTTTAAAACTTGGTGATAAATGATTCCTGGACTGACACGAAAGCAGCATTTTATTCCCGCTGCTCACATACTAGGTGGACGATGTAATGGTTGATAATTCAAAGGTAATCCATAAAAGCTTTACTGGTGGATTTCTCTTGTTTAAGGGAACTTCAGATTGATAGTAAAACCTGTTGAGGAATTACCCTCGGTTTAGATGAATGGGAAGTCTTTGATGTCTTCTGCTTTCCAAATTCTGTAGAAAATGTCTGTGACATTTACCTATGACGTCAAACTAAGAGAAAGAGAAAGAGGAAGAATACATGTTTATATATACTTCTTGGCTAAAAAAGTGTTCCCACTGGATTTGAACTAAACAAATAGAGGCTTGGAGTGGACTGTTGGTCTAGGTTTAGTAACACCAGGTGCCCAAAAATGAGGCCAACCATGTACCTGAACATACCGAATAACCAGGTTTTTCCATCAGGGGTTTTTCTTCTTCCAGATGCCATATATGACAATGTTGGGTTTCATCTGGCTCAAAATGTGTGAGAGACATCATTTTTACACATGCATTGGCCACCACAGAGTTTGCATTTTGACCCGATTCAGAATTTTGGGGATTGTTCTGGAGAAGATTTTACACTTGGTGAAAACATAATGCAATTTCTGGACAGAAATAAATGTGACACTGCATAATCTTACCGATGCGACATCATGACAAATGTGCGCTGCCATCAAAGCTAAAAGTGGACCGATGAGACAGGAGTGTGGCCCCATGATCGGAAGGTCAGGGGTTCGATTCCCCTGAACAGCTACCCTGAGGTACTCCTGAGCAAGGTACCATCCCTACACACTGCTCCCCGGGTGCCCAATGGCTGCCCACTGCCTCACTGAGTGAATGGGTTAAATGCAGAGAGGAATTTCCCCGCGGGGATCAATAAAGTATACATTCTTTCTTTCTGTAAATGTCTGCATAGTGTTTCGGCGTCCTCTACAAACCAGAACAACATCCTCTGTTATCTGACACTCCCGTGTTTCCTTTAGAGGGACAGACAGGAATCACAGATGGACAGCCTCAGGCTCTGCTCCTGCAAACATAAAAATGCCTTGCAAGCAGAGCCACAACTAGCCATCAGGATGTTGATATGGTGGTGCCTCTGACAGGCCCGTACAAGGAACCGTTCTCATCTCTACGCAGCACTAAGAACATGAAACATGGAAACCAGCTGCTGAAATTGGAGCCCCTTGAAAATGTTTAAAGTATTCCTGATGAATGAGAGTACGCATGTGCTTTCCAGGCAGAGTGACTTAAGTGCAACTTGTGGTGGGAGGAATATAGCTCTTTAAAGCATATATATATACGTGCATGTCATAAAAATACAAACATCAAATATACCTTATGCCCCCATAGATCTGACACACATCTTTCCAGTCAGATGAGTAAATTTCCCAGTTATAAGACTGACAGAGTATAAAGCACCGGTAAAACCTGAAAAACAGAAATGTGGGTATGTTTTCCCATGGCAGGCTTAAAACAAAGAGAGACTGTTTAGTGTTTCTACAGAGTAACGAATGAATGTTTATGGTGTGAAACCGGTCCTTTGTGTTAACGAACCAGTGATTATACTGGTCACACGCTCCCATGAGTGCCCTGTTTTGATTTTCCACCCCTGTTCTAAACTAGACAAGCGAGCTGTCAAAACTGCAGCTTGACAAAGTCAGCGTGGATGGATGTGGGTACACGGTAAAGGAATGACTAGTATCAGAGTAAATAAGGGCGATCGCTCTCCTTCTTCTTAAGGAGACAAACTATGTAAGCAGAGCGATCCAGATGCTTCACCAAACAGAATTATTTCTCACTTTAGCGAGAAACAAGTCCACAGAAGGGAAATGTTATTCAAACTGTGTTTACTTCTGAAGGAACAGCAGGCTCGCGAGCCAAAGTCAAATTTGAGTAAACTTTCAAACGACTTTACCGCAGTGAATTTCCAGGAAGGTCAACGTCTTATCTATCAAATCGAGAATGTGGACAGATTTTCATTTCTGCTATGCAGCTGAGTCACTCGTTTATTTTTATATTAGCAATAAAAACAGGAAAGATTGCGAATTCAGGGACGGAGTTGCGCAAATGAGCAAACATTTCATTTCTGCGATCAAAGGTAGTAATTTACTCTGCATGTTCAAAACACACTCATGCACACAGTCTAATTACCATCTCACAGACACACAAAAGCCAAGGATCCATTTCATTAATGTCCCCCTGTAAACACAAATACTCTGAATTTCATGAATAACAGCACTGAAAGAGAACAGACCACATTAATACTGGTAGGATAAAGTGTGAGCTGTATTCACAGACAGCAGGTTTTTTTTTAAAAGAAATCATCAAGCTCCCCATTCAAAAGAATTTGAAATGTATTTGGAAATGTAGTGCACACATAGATGCTATCTGTCTGCGGGTTAAATGCTGTGTTACAGTAAACAGTCATGCCCACTTGTTAAAACCAATACAAAAGGGTGGCAGCCACCCATATATATAAAAACAAACAAACAAAACTCATGCCACAACAAAATCTGATCTGTCCGTGGGAGCGTAACAGCAGAAAGGGAAAGAAAAAGCAGAACTGCTTGTAGTCTACAAAACTGTGAGAACATCTTCAAAATAGGCAGTTTCCTTCTCGTTTCTTGTTGTCTGATTCATAAACGGAATCATTCGATGATCGCCATTGGACGAAATGATCTGGGGCTACGGTCCTATTTGCTGAGAAAAAAAATAGATCCTCTGTACACCGTCTCTGACTGAAGGGGCATAACGAGCCCTGATAGAGGCAGTAACCAGTTCATCAGCAGCTCACAAACTCTGTGTGCTCCTGCCAGCATGTGTCCATGCGTGCATCAGGGCTTCTGTCGGCACATCGGCACGGACTTGAAGCATCATTCAGTATGCTTTAGCTTATCATAACTGATCGATTAAAAAAAATAACTCCTGAAGAAATGCAGAGTCCCAGCTGTAGCAAAACTGAAATCATATTTAATGAAAACAGAATTACTTTAATTTATTTCCAGATAAAACATACATATCACAAAAAAGCTCTAAGATTTTACAATAAAGGGCAGAAAAAAACTTGCTTAGTTAGAACAAGAGAGGAATGACTCAGGAATGAACCGATATGTAATCAGTCGTTCATCAGTGCTCTCCCACCCGAACTTCTGACAATTACTTCCTACAGAACCAGCTGGAAAATACGATATTAGTGTGTCATTAGGTGAAACACCTGGGGGTAACCATCCAAAGAGAGAGGTAGTGCACAAGAGATGTGAAGAAGAGAGTGCAGGCAGGCTGGAGATGATGAGTGCCAGAAGGATAGCAGCGAGAGTCAAAAGGAAAGTTTACAGGAACCTGCGGTGGTGTATGACTTGGAGATGGTGGTACTCATAGTTTGGAGACAAAGTTAGAGAGGCAATACTGAGATGGTTTGGACATGTGCAGAGGAGGGATAGTGGAGATAATGGACAAAGGATGCTAATGATGGAGCTGCTAGGGAGGAGGAAAAGAGGAAAACCACAAAAGAGATTCAAAGATGTAGTGAAGGAGTAATTGCAGAGGGTTGGTATGACAGGATGTTAAGGATTGGGTGGGATGGAGGAGGGAGAGGAGGACTGGTTCATAATCATACATAAATTCATCAACTCTGATCCAAATATTCATCAACCCAAAACAATAACTGCTTATTCATTACTAAAAATCTAATTAATATTTAACATTTGTTACTCTGTCTGTGTGGCCTCAGCAGTTCCTCATGACTACTCTATCACTTTATGTTTCAATCAAACCCCTCACTTTATGGATAACTATGAACGAATCACTAATATAGTGCCTCCAGCTGGCTCTAGTGAATAATTACCCAGTGTACAGTCTTGGATCAGGAGTGCTGATGAACGACTCATTACAGTCAACTTGTTGCTTATACTTTCCATACTCTTTCTTCTCTAAGTAAGTTAAATGTTCCTGTTTCTTAAGTGTTTCCTATGCAGGATATATAGTTACTTACATATATATCAGACCCTGACATATTCAGGCAAGGAATGGAAAAAAGAAAGGATGTGCTTAGAGAAAGTGAATTAATAACACTCCCCTCTTCCTCAGCAGCTACTGCTGATGTGCCCTCGTGGAAGGCACTTAATCCACAGCTGCTCCAGCTTCCAAGTGGGACAAGCACACAACTTCAGTAAGATGAAGCACTGGAAGCTGGATCAGTTCAGACTCCCCTGGATAAATGAAGGATAAATCAGTCCACAAACATATTCTCACATTTAATTTCAGTAGTCAGAGCATCCAGAGGGACACACAGCACATTTACTTATTTTAAAGTTATTTTCAGAAACGTGTGGGTCACTGTAAGCATCTTCTACCACACTGACATCGGCTAACGCAGGAGGAGCAAGGTGATACAGAGGGATATGCAAGGCTGCCAGTCAAAAAGAAAGCAGCTCTGGGCGATCACCTCCCACAGAAGTGCACCGGCACATTTTTTGACATGCTTTCTTCTCCAAAGCCCCAGGCTTGAAGCTCCAGTCTGTCCTCCTCCTCCTCCTCCTCTCTATCATCTTCTACTATATCTCCCTCCTCGTACAGACTAGGCTCCTCCACAGAGGTCTCCATGTTCGGGTTATAGCTACCGAAAGCCTGCGCCTCACTGTACTCGTAGATGGTGGGGAGGCTGCTGCGTAAACCGAAGCGGCGCCGCAGCGCCACGAGCAGCGGCTGCGGGATGGTGAAGATATCCACATTGTTCCCCATGTCAATCCAGGCCAGCGTGGGGAACTTCTTGGGCTCCTTCATTACATCTGTCAGGTCTTTCAGGATGGCCGCTGTCAGACGGTTGCCATTAACAGCAAGTATGGTGAGTTTCGGCAAGCAGCTGAGGTAGGGCAGCAGCATGCGTAAGCTGTCGTCCTGCAGTTCAGTGAAGCTCAGGTCTACAGCGGACACCATGTCACTGCTGCTCTGAAGGTAGAAGGCCACGCGGTGGACATCCCGGCCGGAGAGCGGGATTCCCGACAGGTTGACAACGTCTCCCGAAAGCTTCTTTTTCAGCGTGGTCTTCAGGCTGTTTAAAAGAAAAACAAATCATTATCACGATGTTCAAAAGTTTGGTCTCCGAGGTACAAAATGGTGATTTGCTGCAGACATTAAATGTGCAAGAAAATGCTTAGTTATGCAAACACAAGTAGGTGTTACTTATTGATACAGACATTATTGATTTAAGGGCTCCATAATGTAGACTCTAAATGTTCCACTGCTGCAAAAAAGACTGCAAAAAAAGAAACAGCATTAGGCTGAGTTCAGCCCACAATAACACGCAGAAGAGAATTTGCATTTATGTTTCGTCCCGAGGCTCTCAAACAACAAATTTTGTCTCCGGTGCTGAATGTGTGGCGTAGAAAGGCGCCAGGTGTTTTCAGCTTTGAGTGTCATCTGTTTTTTTCACCTCTGTGTCACCTCCAGTTCTACTAGTAAATAAAAAATCCATAAAATAAACCCCACAGAGACAAGAAAATTAAAATATTTGTGATTAAACAAACCGAGCGAACAAAGCAAAAGTAAACATGTTACCCTGACAAATGAGTCTCCTTGCTATGATCTGGGACTGTAGCGTCACTCCTGGGACACGGATTATTTTGAAAACAGGGATTCAGTGGAAAGTTTGGGTTTTTTGGGGGTTCGAAAAAAGAAAATCGGGCCACTTGTGTTTGAAATATTGTGAGTGACAGGTTAATAAGCCACTGGAGTTGAGATGAATGCAGTTTAGAGATGAGAGTATTCGCAGTTGAGTCTTTATGCCAGGAGCATTAGGATGCGCCACATTTTGCAGTACGCTTTATAAGAATACAGACAGTGTAAAGTTGGGCGTTAGAGGCGATGATTACCATTGGACTGACTCCCTATTAAGTTAATTTAGCCAGAAACTGGCGTTAGCTTTAAATTTAATGTATACACTTGAGAGATGCATGATTCCTCTCCACAAACTGTCAGCAAGAAGGCAAATACATGTACTTCCCTGAACTTTTCCCTGTCAGGATTTGATAAATGGCTGTTAGGATATTGTGTAGAACAGACAGGAGGATAAAAGAGTCGATGATGCACGTACAAACAGTCTCGAAAAGGCAAGACACACAAGTGATAAAAGCAACACGTCACCATCTATGTCAGTCAAACTGTGGATAACAGATGTTAGGGTGAAACCATCTGAAAGGAAACTCCTACGCAGATAGGTCCATAACTTTTTGGACAAAGACTCAATTCTTGTGGTTTTGCTTCTGTAGATTGCCACGTTGGACCAGAGCAGTCAAGATGTGATTGAAGTGCCGACATTCAGCTTTAATTTAAGGGGTTTTACAAAAGCCTCGCATTAACTGTTTACAATCTTTTTTTATAAATGTTAACATTTCAAGAATGTTTATCCAAAGTAACTGGACAAACAAACACAATTTTAAATATATAATATATGTTTTTGATAGTTGGAGGAAATGCCTTTGACTCCCTGGAGTGTAGAACCCGTGGATGTTACCAAACGCGGTTTCCTCCTGCTTGTTTGTGGGTTTCTTTAGTTTTGTCTTCAGTTTTTTAAAAACCTGCCCCACTAGGTTGAGATCAGTTTACAGACTTGGCCACTGAAGAATATCCAATTTCTTTGAATTGAGAAACTCTTGGTTTTTTTTGCACTTTGCTTTGGGTCATTATCCCTGTGCGCTGGGAAGTGCCATCTGATCGGTTTTGCAGCACTGCTTCTTCTCTCAGCACTTACATCATCCATAAAAACTAGTGACCCAGTTCCACTGGCAGTCACACATGCCCAACATTACCTCCACATGTTTGCAGTATGCATCAGTTCATCTTGGTTTCATCCAAATATATGTGCAGGCTCTATTAGGTTTTTTTCTGGCAGTCGAATCTGGCATTCTTGTTCTTGACTGTAACCAGTGGTTTGCACCTTGCACCCTCTGTGTTTACATCTCCTGATTTAGGACCCCATGCAATCTGCATGTTATAAGAATAAGAGGAAGTACAGCATCATTTATAAGAACAAGTTTGTGGCAGTAAGGACGCACCCGACCACATATTTGCACTTTGTAACACTATTCCGGGTTGCTGCTCTTTTAACTCTGGCTGCAGCTTCCCAGCTGCCAGCCACACATACGGCACAACAACAACAAACTCAGGTGTCAGTCTCCACTGCAGGTCACCACAAACCACACCCGCCACAACAGAATGGATACTACGGAATCTCTCCATTTAGCAGGAACACAGTGAAAGGTGAAATACTACTATCGGTAACTATCAGACTTCCAGATCTGTCATGGAATTGCTCAGCAAAACATTTGCTCTATAAAAGAACTTGGTTGAATATGGATAGCTGAGCTAAAAGGAGGAAACATACATGTTAGGGCGGTACAGGAGTGTGTAGACAGAGCCTGCTGCAGAACACTGTTTTTTTTGAAGAAGTCAGAGGAAACAGATATGCCAAACAAATGGAGAATTAGTTAAAGAAAATCAACAAACAGCAGAAAAACGCTCTGTTTGAGCGACCAGAGGTTCATTCTGTTTTTGTCTTAGTCCTGTTTGCTTTTCCTCGCCCCTCTGCCTCCTCAGGCGCAGTAAAGGATTATCCCTACATCTCTCTCTGCTCTCTGGTCTGTCTGGGAGCCTCATAAATTGGCAGGCTGTGCTCTTTACATCTGTCACCCTCTCTGCTCGGTTAAGGGAAAGAAGAAGATCTGTAGCACACCGGGGCTGCGATTCGCAAGATTATTGATTTGAGGAGTAGGCTATAATTCATCTCTCCCTCCCTCATATCCTCACTCCTGCTCACTGCCTCTCACTTTCTTGCTCTTTTCTATTTTCTTGGCCTCTTCGGTTTGTTTTGTTCACAGCCTCACCGTCTCTCCTGTTCTAAATCTGATCTGCTGAAGCAAACGTATTCACCCCTTCATTCTCTCATTTTTGAATGGCTCCCTTCAAAAGGTTATTGAATTGCAAGCACCAGGTACACCTAAACCTCTAATAATTAACAGATTAAAAGACCTAGAACAGTTTTCATACGAGAATGAAAACCGTATTTTTGGGTTATGTATTATAGGGGACATCCACAAAGTGAATCTCCTGTTCCATCACATCCTAAAAATACTGGCAGCTGCCAGCGCTACACTGCAGCCTCCTAGTAGATACATGCATGGTATAAATTTCAAAGTCCTACATCGCCTCGTTCTCCAGTTATCGCATTCACAAGATTTTCAGAAAACATGACCTCTGACCTTGAGGTCAGACTCGAACTCGTCCAATATTTTTAGTAGATACACTTATGCTATTGATTTTAAACGCCTACCTCTCCTCTTCCTCGAGTTATCGCATTCCCAAACGTAGGTGTGCACGCCACTTGCCTGGCCGCCCACCTGGCGGGGTGATGACAATGCCCCATCAGTCTTGTACTGCTGAGGGTAAAATGCTCAACTGGATTGATGTCTGCTGACTGTGTCATTTGATTACAGTGGCTCAATGCCATGTTCAAGAAACCAGTTTGAGATAATGACACAGCGAGTTATTGTGGTGGAAGCAGCAATCAGAAGACGGTCATCACAACACTGTGGTCATAAAAGGACGGGCATAGTCACGGACAATACTCAGGTAAGCTGTGACATTTAAACAATGCTAAGAAAGAAAATATAGCCACATCATTATACCACAACAGCGGTACCCAACCCCCGGGCCACGGACCGGTGTCGGTCCGCGAGTTGTTTGCTCTGGGCTGCGAGAGTTGAGGCTCGGGTGTGAAATTGATGGTTCTCAGGGTTTTTAACATTATTTTTTTAATTGTTTTTATCGTTAACTTGGTTTCCCTGGGTCTTTTCCCGTGTCTTATAAATAAATCTTCTTTTTTCTGGTTTTATTTTGTTGCATTATTCCGCAACATGTGAAAATATTGTCGGGCATAAACTGGTCCGTGGTGCAAAAAAGGTTGGGGTTGTACTACAACACATCCATGCTGTCATGTTTTTTTTTTATTCTAACCCTATCATCTGGAAATCACAGCAGAAATTGAGAGTCATCAGACCTGGCAACACCAATCTTCTTGTTCAGCCCATACAAAAGTTTTGCTGACAAGAGTGGCACCGATTGTGGTCTCCTGCTGCTGCAGGTTCAATATGCTGTGTGTTCAGAGATGCTCTTCTGCATACTCTGGTTGTAATGTTTTTTTTAGCCTTCCTATTAGCTCAAAGGAGTCTTGACATTCATCTCTTACCTCTGGCATCAACAAAGCATTTTCACCATGAGACCTGCTGCTCACAAGATATTTTCGCCTTTTTAATGCATTTTCTGTAAACTGATGGCTGTGTGTGAAAAATCCAGAATCAGCAGTTTCTAAAATACTCAAACTGGCCCGTCTGGCACCAGCAGTCTTGCAGCATTCAAAGTGATATTCATCTTTCTTCTCCATTTTGATGTTTGGTTTGAACTTCAGCAGGTTATTTTGATCTCGTCTGCATGCCTTGAGTTGCTGCCATGTGATTAGCTGATAAGAGTGAACGTTAGTGAACCTAACATAATAACAACATAAAATCCTAACCAGGGCAATTGATGTGCAAGTATGTCTGACCTTCAAGAAGCTAATTTGCAGAGATTCAGTTAAACAAAGGGTTTTTTTTTCAGTGCTACTTGTCATGTAATTTTTATGTTCTACCTGTACCAGTGCATGTGACACAGCACAGGAGCCTGAAAACTGTCCAAAGTCTTCTATGCTAATTTTCATTGCTTAATTTGTAATATATATATTTTTTAATTTTCCATGGTCCCCCTCTGATTCGTTCTCATTGTCCCCCTGTTGCACCTAGTTTGGGGATCGCTCCTCATATTTGACGTTAGTTTCTCGGCAAATTCTGTGATCTCTTATATGTTAACAATTAAATTACTATTCAATAATTTTTTCTCAGTTTAATAATACAGAAAACAGAAAATGATGAATGAGGTTTGCACATTGCTAAGAAGCAACTTAAAAAGCAGGAGAAGTCTTCTTGGGTTAATCAACCACAGGTTTTCTGTTCCACTGTGCAG